ACTCGCGGTGAGGGGCACCTGCTCCGATCTTCCCCTGTTCTGAGTAGGCTTCCACTCTTCCAGAGATGAGCATTGTTTTTATGAATTGGCACTTCACCCAACCGGCCCACATTTTTTTGTACAGCCCGCTTTCAGAAAACATAAAAATGAACAAAAAAAACAAGGTGAAAGTGTTTTTTTGAAAATTTCCTCCCACATCCAACCCGCCTGTCACCCATAAAAAACCTTCACCTTGAGTCACCCACACCCGCGAGAACAAGATTACCTGCCTGCAACCGGTACCTTATTATTTTCCACCTGCACCTGCCCGTTCCCCATTGTCTCAGTCCCTTCGAACATTAACACGGACCATAGCAACATGACATCCTTGGATGATTATGCAAAAAATTGGAGCATCTCCACCACATGACGTCCTTGGATGATGGCACGAAAATTCGAAGCGCTCCACAAGTTTGAAATTGGGGAGCGAACCTTGCCTCCTGCTGTGGTTAGGTTTGATCCCCGAACTCTCTTTTTGTCCAGGACGAGAGCGTCTTTTTTTTCCAGGGAGCGCCACGATTTTAGGAATTGTACGGGCTACTACAGGAGCGCCCAAATTCATCCGACTAGAAATGTTTCTATTCTATTTTTCGGAATTTTTCCCCCTCCGATAGCTGGGCCAAGTACTCGTGGTTTAAGTCCAGTTTTTCAAGTATTGCTGGGGCCAATCCCCCTAGGGCATGATATCATCATCAAACTTAGCAAAACTGCTAGAGCTCTCGTCAGCCTTTGCATTGTGCCTTTAGCAAAAGAACGCCCATTAAACCAGCGGTACTTGGCCCAGCTATCGATGCCGAGCCTGGAATGCTCCTGTGCGCCAATTTTCGCCAAAGCGCCGGGGTACCGTTTTGAAAATTTCTGGTCCGGTACCCCGAAGCCCTAGAGGCACGACGGGAAAGCGCCGTGGCCGATAGCTGGGCCAAGTACTGGTGGTTTGATCAACAAAATGACCTTATGATGGTTGACACTGTTATGGGTCCAGGTGAAGAAACAAGGGGGAATGTGTGCTTTTTACCAGAGCAGTGCAGTTACACCCTTCGCAGAATGGGCGGAACAGGCAGGCCATGGCCAACTTTTCTCATGCATGTATCAACATTCTGTTCCAGGGACCCTGGACCTGCTTTCCAGCAGGTGTTGCTCCCCACCGATGGAAAGGAGCCATCCTCCGGTGGGCGGTCTGCTCCTATCACCACCGGCATGATAATCGGAGGATGTTAAAAAAAAAAAAAAAAAAAAAAAAAAAAACCCCTTTGTAGCTACCAGAGTGGCCGGGGGGCCCAAAAAAAAATACCAGCCCGTACGTACGGAGGCCCCCGGGCGGACCTCCGTACGTTCGGGCGTTCGGGGTCCCGTACGGGGCCCGAACCCGACAGCGTTTGGTCCCCGCCAAAAATTATTTTGGGGTCTAAAAATAATGTTTTGTTTCTGAATTTTTTTTTATGMGTTCTCTATGACGTGAGGTACATGCCTATAAATTTTCAAGTCATTTGGCTTAGCCAAATAAGAATTAAAAATCGCCAAATATTGCGGTGTCAAAACGTGCTCGCCCACGTTTTTTTTCACTTTTGACTTTTTGTTTTCACTTTAGTAAGTTTGGTTCGGGGTCTAGACAATTTTATTATTTTTTGAAACTTTTTTAGTGGGTTTTGTATTATGTGAAGTACACATCAGTCAATTTTCAGGGAATTTAGCTATGCCAAAAAAAAAAGAAAAATCGCCAAAGACGGCGGTGTCGAAAACATGCCCGCGCACTCACTAAATTTATTTCTCTTTTTATTTTTATTTATTTTTATTATTAGTATTTGTTCTGTGTATTTTATTTTTATTTCAAATTTGGTAAGGAATTCGGACGTAATGATCAGGCAAATCTTGTTTAAT